GCTCTACGAGATTTCGCGTGTTGTAATAAGTGTTATGTTGTTACTTGTACTGTGTTATGTTCTACGACATATAGGCTCAGAAGCCCCGTGCGACCGTAAAGCCCCAATGGCAACACTCGTCACGGGCCGCACTGATCTCTCGACCTTATGTGTGCTTGGGGCCCCTCTGGTTGCTCACCTTTGTAGGCTCGTATGCCGTTTTTCCTTATCAGTGCTTGTCTCGCTGCTGGCCGATGAGGGCCCCTCTGGTTACTGAGGAGACTTGAGGGTGCGGTCCCTCTCTGACAGCTTAGGGACTTACCTGGTTGCGCAGACCCCCCCCCCCACCCCCCCCCCCCCCTCCCTTCCGCCGGTCACGACGGGGAACCTGTGATCGCTTGTGGAATTTCTGGTACCTTCGGTTCGTGAAAGCACGTGACAGTCTTCTAAAGTCGGCCCTCCAGCCGCAAATTATCGTTTTTGTTTTGTGTTTTGTTTTTTCCTCGCCGTGAGAAGAATATTGAACAACTGAAATTGGTGTTCTTAAACAGTGCCATGATCCATGATCTCGTCTCTCCGTGACCCCAATGCATCCTTCTTCTGGAACGTCCCCGCCACCCCCTGCCCAGCATCTGCGCAGTCGCCTTCTCTTTAATCTGAGCACAACCCGGAACGCGATATGTTGTTTTTTTCCTTTCCAGGCAGCACAGAAAACCCAATTTTACTCTGTGTTTACACATTCTGGGTTGCAGCGAAAGGCACCCACTAGGTAATATGTGTCGCACTAGGCTTGGAGTATGCCTTAAGTATGGTGGAGAGTATCATGATGGTTGGGGGTAGAGCTCGGAGCGTACACATGGTTTCCATACGGGACATTACCTCGAAAACGCCCACATGTTGGACGTCATTCCCCAGTGTTGCCTGCCAACTGTAAGAATTCTGGTATGTTCTCAGCTGCCTTGGCTCTCGAGGTCTTTCGCCGTGTGTTTTATTTTCACGGTCGACGAAACTGCTGGCTTAAGTGCCTAAATGGAGCCCATATTAGTGCATCATATTAATCAAACATATAAACTGGCATGCTGGCGGGGGTGGCGTAGCCTCAGGCAAGTTTGTCGCCCATTTACTAGTAGGCTGGTAAGAATCGGTGCAGACGACTTCCCATTCAAAACATAGGGGAGCTGTGCAGAGTTTGGTGGGGCTGAAGCCAATCCTGCCAGCTGTGCTCATATGAACTCAAACCCGTAAGTAAAAAGCCTGCATAACGCATTCAGTGCCAAAGAAATAGCCGAGGGCAATCACCCCTGGTTTAAATAGGCGTTCACACGCACATTTTCATGAACTCTGACACCAGTCACAATATCGAGAAGTGTCACACGACTATGCGTGCTGGACGCCCACATTTGAAACATTGAAGCGCAAGGGCGCGGGTGGTCCAGCTTGAGAATACGAGCTTAAGAGTTGAATGTATCATGATCTAAAAATCATAATAAGTTAAGACCTTATGGGAAATGACAGGGCATGCACGTCGGTTTCGTTTATAGTCATCACATCCGCGACAGCTCAACAGAGCGAACTGAGGACATCTCTTTACGAACAGCTTTTATACGCAAATCACCCCTCGGTATGAATTTGCTCGAGGCACTGGTCTGAAGTCGACTTGCTCAATGCTCGATCAAGCCGATTGATGTCGCTCACCCTCAACAAATACGCATCTGAGAAAGTACCGGATGGCACCATGCGTCGTCTGCTCGAGGTCAAAGGCCCGCAGGGGGATTTCACAGGCTCGCACGGAATGTGTTGGCGGCCGCCGCAGGACTCTCGGAGACTGGCACAGAACGCCTCCGAAGCCAGCACGCATTTATCAGTTTCCGCTTCGGCTCTTCCCAAGATGGTGTTCCACTTTTGGCCGTAGCACCCAGAATCCATCAACACTATTGCGGTGATGCCGCATCTGCAAAGTGCAATGAACACAAGGTGACGCGCATTCAAGTAATATGTACGACTCTCCATAAGCAAGAAAGCGAACAGATGCTCAACGGAAGTGCTTGTGGCTTTCATCAATTTACAAACTAGTCACAAAATATTTTTGATTAACGTTTTGGTATGATTCAGTGTAAAGGAATCAGCCGTGGCCTAAGGACTGAACCACTTGGATGGTTTCTCCTGTCCAGATTTCAAAACAGATCGTTGATATAGATGATGTGAAGTCTAACAGCATGGTGTTTGTCGGCATAGCCACGCATCGACCTCGTAACGTAGCCTTTCACGATGTTCTGAGGCGTCGGTGAGCCGACAGGTCGGTTTTTATTCCGAAATCGTGCTACATTCGGTACGAGTCACTGCGCTGCCGCATCGGCCCCGTTGCAGGTCAGGGCTGTCCCTCAAGCCCATGGACAGTTGGAACGACGGTGGTTTTTAAGAGGGGCAATGCACGTCTACCACAGTCCACAACACGCGCATGACTTCGGCCCACTTTAGCTCCACTTCCTCATTCGGTAAAATGGACTCCAGTCCGACCGCAGAAGATCGAGGTCGAGTGCACCCCTAGTTTAGCTTGTGCAATGGACGCACAGTGAGAGGCGCCTGGCGAGGGGAAACGGAGATGCGGAACAGGAGGTAAACCCCCGACGAGATGGGCATCGGTAAACGAGGAGAAGGCACCATCTCTGCATCCCTTGTGAAATTTTTGAAGTGACATGATCGGGCCCATTTATGGACACGTTTTCCCATCGGGGTGTCTAGGATCAACCAAAGCGCAAGTTTTGTGCGGTTGATTTTTCCCTTTGTTCGGTCTGTCCATTCCTTTTTATTAGGAATGTGACATCGCTAATTGTTCTAACACGCGATTTGTAAAGGTTTCTAGTGACAGGTAAGTGTATTGATTGACAAAGGCTCACCAACAACCGCTGGTATCCCTGACATCTGTCGGTGTCGCCCAGCCTTGACCTTTTCCTGGTTTTGCCTTTTGATCGAATTAATTTTTTTATCGTGGCTTAAGGCCAGGTTACGGTTCACTTGGTGATTAAGAACGGCGGAATTTCCAGCATTGCTGGGGATAACTCACCTCCTTGATATCAGCACTTTGGAGAGGAGAGCGTCCACGGAGAGAACTGGGTCGCGATTATACATGATGAAAAACGGACTTAACCTTACACTATCGTTTTTTGCTGTCCTAGATGCCGCAAAAGTTGCCGGAATTTGGTGTCCCAGTCTTCTTGTGAAGCGCTGATGAGTTTTGCTAACCGATCGCTTTGGACATGGTAAAATCGCTCTTACTTGCCGTTTGCTTGAGGATGGTAGACTGGAGTGCAACTGTGTCTAATATTGAAGAATGTTGAAATTTGTTCGACTCCTGCATGACAAAAATCAGTCTAATTGTGACATACAATGCCGCGGGGCAGGCGTGACGCGGAATATCCTTAACAGGAATTTGTGCCAAACTCTTAGCACTTTTTGATTCGGTAGCAAATGACTCAGGCCAACCAGGAAACATGTCAATACCGTGAATGAAGCACCGATTACTATCATGGCTTTGCGGAAATGGTCCAAATGTGTCTATTGCAATAATTTCGAATGGGTACTTCGAATCTGCATGTTGTGCAGAGGATGGCGTTCTTTTCGTAATTTTGGCATATCACAGGCTATGCAGATTTTCAAATACTGAACTACGTATTGGTACATGCAAGACCAGCAATGATGCGAGCGAAATTTATCATATGCTTTGTAAGTGCCTAGATGACCACTAAAACGTCCGGAATGCGTTTCTTCAATGTGGGTTTTTTGGCGGCTGCGAGGAATGACTAGCTGTACGCCGGGAAGTGGGGCACACCTTTTTTGCGGCTGCGAGGAATGACTAGCTGTAAGCCAGGAGGTGGGGCACACCTTTTTTGAGGCTGCGAGGAATGACTAGCTGTAAGC